CACACACACACACACACACACACACTATATATATATATATATATATATATATATATATATATATATATTGACAATGCTTTTATTGAATGGGATGATATCACCTGTTGAACATTCACTGTTATAGAACTCAACTTTCGTACATGGCTTATGTAGGGCTTCTTTACTATGTTTTGTTGTAGGCATGAATAAAATGGTAATCAATCACTTGGACAAGCTTTTCGTGACGAATGATGCTGCAACAATAGTGAATGAACTTGAGGTTCAGCATCCTGCTGCAAAGATTTTGGTGTTAGCTAGCAAAGCACAGCAAGAAGAAATTGGAGATGGAGCAAATTTGACCATATCATTTGCTGGGGAGCTCCTTGGGAATGGTGAGGAGCTTATAAGGATGGGACTTCACCCAAGTGAAATCATCAGTGGTTATACAAAAGCTATCAACAAGGTTATTTGCTTTCTTTATGGTTTGAATAGTTAACTTGCTTTCCTTCTTGTCTCCAATGAAATGAAGTTTTCTTTGCCAGAGCTTCTTTCAGATCCAGACAGACATTTACAACTGGCATTTTGGATCAGTAGTTGTCCTTGTGTCATTCATGAGTGTTTTCGTCTTTTTGACCAGACAATTGAGATTTTAGATGAGTTGGTGGAGAAGGGCTCGGAAAACATGGATGTAAGGGACAAGGATGCTGTTATTACCCGAATGAAAGCTGCTGTTGCTAGCAAGCAATTTGGGCAAGAAGAAATATTGTGCCCTCTTATTGCTGATGTCAGTAGTGTGATTCTATTTTTTTTTTTGGGGACTTTCTTCTTCTTCTTCTTCTCCTCTCTCTCTCTCTCTCTCTCTCTCTCTCTCTCTCTCTCTCTCGCGTGCGTGCGTGCACACAGACACAATGCACACCCATTCACACTCCCCCTCCCATATCTCTCTCTCTCTCTTTCTCATTCTTTAGGTTTGATTAGGGTTCCTAAGATGGACTGCATGTGCTTCCAGGCTTGTATCCAGGTCTGCCCCAAGAACCCAATGAACTTTAATGTAGACAATGTCCGTGTTGCAAAGTTGTTGGGAGGAGGATTGCACAATTGCTTAGTTATTCGTGGAATGGTCCTGAAAAATGATGCTGTTGGGACTATCAAAAGAGTGGAAAAGGCCAAGGTTCGTGTATATTATCAAATCAAAGTTATTCAGGTTGATATTGACTGGTTGGGTTTTACATTTCTTTACTTTTGTGTAATTTGATGTCAGATATCCTCATCATATGAGGTTTGAGATGAGCTTTGCTATTTAATTTTCCTTAAAATATTTTCAAGAAAATTCTTATAGGCTTCATGTTATTTGGAGCCTTTTTTTCATTTTATTGGCCAATACTATGGTTTTTTTACATTTTGTGCAATTCATACCCTCATCAGGTGAAAATGTTCAATTTGTCATTTGTGTATTAGTTCTCTATTTTGTTAAGTCATGGTTGTTGGAGCATGCACTGAAGTCTCTTTTTTTTTCTGTGATTTGCCATATGAATGTATAGGATTTTTCATCTAATAACTGTGAAGAGGATCTTAACAAAACAATATGTAAAACTCAGGGAAATTAGGAGATTGGGCAGAATCCTATGGCAAAATAGAATAAATCGACACAAATCATTTTCTATTGAAACAGATAATTTGGCTGTCATATTTCATACTTCATTGTATATTAATATCCTATAATCAAGACATATATGCATATTAAGTGGAATATCTAATATGAGATTCTAAGTTACTATGCTTTTGTTTTTAATATGCTTATGAATGTGCCCTGCTTCTTTTCTTTTCATGCTAAGCTAGTTATTTGATTAAGGTGTGCATTTCTAGCAGTGAGACTTAATTGCAGGTCTGATGGCTATGAATGTGCAAATTTCTTCTGATCGACTATTTTTCGTGAATCTGAAAATGAAACTAGTGCATAAAATATAAAAAATTTATGCTTTAAGGAGCACAAGGAATACTGTTTGTAGCATTGTTACTAAGCTATGTGTCAAAACACTTGAAGGTTACATGATTAAAAAAACAAAAAGTTGGAAGTTAGTAAATTTGACCTATTGTTCTAATAGATGTGTAGATCAAGTTTTGGTTTGCCTGAAGTCCTTGCGTTTCCCTTCTCAAAAAAGGAAAAAAGTCCTTGCATTTCCTTTGTATTTCTCTATAAGTAATCTTAGTCCCCTTTCATGAAATCTCATTTTTTTCCTTTTTCCTTTTCTTCTGTAGGTTGCAGTGTTTTCTGGAGGAGTTGATACATCTGCGACCGATACAAAGGGAACTGTTCTTATTCAAAGTGCAGAGGAGGTTATTTTGGCACAATTTACTTATGCTTGTCTTCTCTTCCTTTTATCTATAATTTGGTGATTTATGTCAGCTTATAAACGTTGTTAGTATCCATGCAACTTTTACTCAATGCAATTCTCATGTGTTTGGCTCCTTTTCTTCTCTTCCTCTTACACTGTTTTCTTTCACATCTTTTTAAGTTCAATTTATTTCATGGACAAAGTCTTTATTGCAGGGTAAGTTAATAGTCAGTTTCGAGAAGCATGGCTTATGCTAGTGAATATTCAATGTATTGCATCTTCCTCTTGCTGTGTTGGAAACAGTGGAACTTTAAAGTTTAAAGGCTTGAATTATGGAACCTGTGTTATGCATGACTGCAAATACTAAATAATAGGAAAAATTCTGTTGTGTAATGTATGCTATTGGATAATATTTGTTCTGCACACACTTTTTACTTATGGTTTGAGTGCAGATGAATGTACTCATTGTCATGATGCTTTGGATTTTGGGTTGTCCTCATTATTTTGCTTTTAACTTTCAGCTTTCTCTTGTACCACACGAAGAGGTTGGGTTACACATACATGCTTGCCTAGAACATGGGACATAGTTATTCTTGGAATTTTAACGTTCAGATCTCTCTATTCAGTCAGAGTTGATATGTGTGATCAATTAATGGTTTTTTTTTTTTACTTTCCACTGTAAGCCAATCCCTCCATAATATCACCTTACGTATCTAGAATAATACATCCTTATGTACCCAGAATATCACCTGAAAGAGACCCTGCAAGCCAATCCTGACTGTTATTTAGAACAGTGGAACCAGAGGTTCAACTGCCTGAAGAGGTAGCTGGCCTGTTTCATCCGGAGTGGCCCTACAAAGGAATATCAGATGATGGTATGAAAACTTGACCAGAGGTCCAACTGAAGAGAGGGCCTATCCAGTCCAACCCAGTTTGATTGCCAGCCCAACTGATTGAACCAGCATAATGCGACTTCTTCGATGGGACTCCAGTTCTGATTCTGATGTTTTACCAACTACTAGAAAAGTTTGATGTTATGCCATCTCTTTCAAAGAAAATATGTTGTAATGATCATCACTAGTCAACGCCCATGGTTGTTATTACTTCACCAGCATTTCTGCCATTTATGTTCTGGCACCCCTGCATTTCCTCCTATTTCTCTAAGCATTTCCAATGTGTTTTCAGTAATTTTGCATGCATTTTTTGGGGTAAAATAGTTCCCAAGTTTTTTGTTGGCATTGTGGCAACTCTTATATAAACTTATCTGCATCGTTCGACATAATTTTCGCGAATCTTACCCTGTTTCGTGCATCCCTTTCTAGAGTGAGCGGATCACTTCAGACATTCGCTGACTTTACTCTTGCCTTTCTTGGATTATTTCCTTCCCATGCCTCTATGGATGGATCACTTCAGACATTCACTGACTTTACTCTTGCCAAATCTTCAGCTGTGAGATGTTGACATTTAGCTGATGCTATACCTATAGGTGCTCCTTTGTTGATCTCAATCTCAATGTTGCATGCTGCTATTTAAATGCCTGTTGTCCAATGCCTTTTTCGTTAAGCAAAAAATTTAATTTATTGTAAACTAGGTAAATGACGCCATTCCGTTCAATGCCTAGGCCTCCCCTTATCATCTAGCTTACTCACCCTCTTCCTTCTTCTGTTTTACTTAGCAGTATTTTTCACAATTCCACCTTGGTGGTATGCATTTGTCCTCGGAAATCACCCCGAATTCAAACGTCTAGTTTTGAATAAACTTCTAACTTTGGGGGAAGGTATGATTCTTTTCTTTTAAATAAGGCTACAGCACTTGCACCTTATCCATAGACTATAACTAGGCGACAAAAGGAAATTTCTTAACCTGTTTACTTGTAAACCTCTTACAGATTATTAGGGGGCTGAATTCCAAGTTGCAACAATAGGATTTACTTATGGTTGAAGTAGCTCCTGACTTAGTCAATATGAAGTTTGAATATGCCAATTAGATTCTTTATCTTCTTGGTCAAGCATAAAATCTTATGAACTATTTGTGTTAGTTAAGAGTTAAGAGCCTGTTTCTTGCTATTATCCTTGTAGCTATGGGAAGTATATTGATTCTTATTTTGCATCATGCTTGTACAGCTTGAGAATTACGCGAAAACTGAGGAAGCAAAAGTTGAGGAGCTCATAAGAGCTGTAGCGGAGTCGGGTGCTAAAGTTATTGTCAGTGGTGGTGCAGTTGGAGAGATGGCATTGCATTTCTGTGAACGTTACAAGTAAGATTTTGTATTTTTCTTATCTTGTTCTCGGCTACTTGCTAGTCTTTTTTTTGGATAGATGTGCTTTTGCGACTTTACATCCTCACTTTTTCATATTTGTTTATGAAATTATTTATGGTTTGCGTGACTCAGATACGAAGGGAATCCAAACAAACATATTTATTGGTGAAAATTTGGGGTAGGAATGCGAGAATTGTGTTTGTGAAAGATCTTCTAGTCCGGTGTCAAGGGTCTTTAGTGGCTAATTATTTCCTTGTAATTTTTGTTGGTTACTAGTAAATTATTGGACAATTGGTCTTTTTTCATACATGGGAAACTTCTTGTTGGAGTCCTAGGTTAGGTTCTTATCAAAGTGTTTTGGAAGGGTGAATCCAAAATTTCTGTTTGATCAATTGAGTTGAAAGAAACCTAATGCTTATCTTACTGTAGATCTTTTTCATGTGGGTGCTGAGGGCCACAATTGTCCCTGCCAAGTGCTTTTAGTAGAGGTTGGATAAAATCTTTTACAGGAGCTAAGAGTGATAATTGGTGAAGTGGATATGGGGAAGGCATATGATGCGACAATGTGGACTCTGTCTTCTTGGAGTATTTATTTGTAAGCTGTGTTTTGAAGTGCGGTGGAAGATATGGATAGAGGAGTTTGTTGGAGTATTTATTTGTAAGCTGGGTTTCGAAGTGCGGTGGAAGATATGGATAGAGGAATTTCCATATTGCTCTCTGTTTCTACATTGATGAATTTGTTTCCAGGACTAGATCTGAATTCGAGAGGAGTTTGATAGATTGAATATTACTTTTCTCCTCCATATTATTGTAACATTGTATTTCAGCCCCCATGGTACGCGGAGCTTTTGCTACTGCATGGGTGTGGGGCCAGGTTAACCCAACTTAAATTTGCTGACTTATTGGGTTTGATGTGTCAGTTGAGCAGTTGGTTAAATGCTTGGATTCTAAGAATATTGTGTGATGTATTTTATTATTTGCTCACATCATGGTCTAATTAATGGATGCTGGAGATAGAGGAGATCGGGTAGAACGGTGGGAGTGAGTGGGTGAATAGGCCCATTGGTTTCGTGATAGGGTAAGAAGAAAGCTGGTTTGAAGGGGTTACCCAGGCATCCGATAAACCCTTTTCCCAATCTTCAATAACCTACATTTGATGATTTAAACTAGGGTGGTTTCCAATCTCTAAAGACCTTCAACATGTGTACTCTCTATGCTATACTCTCCCTTTCTGTAATTTAAGAAATAAATTTTCCTACAAATATACTGATGAAAATGTGGAATTCAACGAATTATCTCATCCTGTAATCAATAAAATAATCTCTCCGCAAAAAGATGACGTAAAAAAGTAGAATTCTTTGTAATAATCACCATGAAATGGCACAGAAATCAGAAATAGGAGACACATTAAAACATGTCCTTGAATTCATCCATTAATCCTGTTCTTTAACATATTTCTTCGCTGATGCAAAGACTAATCAAATGCAGGAAAGCTGTCTAAGTCTGTCTCTTTCCTCTAAACCCTAAGTTTCGACCATTAGCCACGAATTGCTAAGTAAATAGAGTAGGAAATTGTGAGGCAGAATTCTATGACATGAAACACTGTGCTATCTTAGCGACCAATGCATTAATGGAATTCAATGATCGAACACTCAGGGCAGACCTAACTCATTGGGAGTTCCCTAATTGAGATGCTTCATGCAAAATCATCAAAAAGGGACTGAGTAAGCCTTTGAAATGGATTCTCCCTTATCTTTCCTTCCACTCTGGGCTCCTCTTTTCAAACCTAGTCCCTTCACTTGCTCATGCCTCCATTCTCTTTCCCTTTGCTAGCCGCGCACCTCCCTCGTCTCTTTCTCATATTTGGAGAAACCCTTTTGCCTTCCATCACGAATCACGAATGTTCTTCATCATGGCATGAGGGACTTTGGCACGGATGCCTGTGTCTGACATTGCCACATGTACCTATGCCCATGGAATATTTCATGGTTCCATTTGGTAAGATAGGAAAGCTTATGTAAGTAGTGTTCAATAAATGAATCAATAATTGTTGGCTTAATGGTTATGGAGGTTTGGCACACAATTGAATCAGCTTTAAAAGGAAGTTGTTGAAAGTAAGCAAGAAAGAGATGGGTGGTTTATGAGATAGTAACCAAATGGGGGTAGGCTCTTGTAGGATGGTGAGGGATCAATAGTTACATACCTACTTTCATTGGGAATCTTGACTCCAAGTTGGGAATAACAAATGTGCAAGGTTTTGGGTGGAGGTTTGGATGGGAGGGCAAGCCTTAAGTATCTGATAACCTTAACTGTATGCGCTATCTAGTACCAGAGTCATTCATGGATGACTGATGGTAGGTGAGGGATTTCCAACTATCTGGTCACCATGCTTTAGAAGAGACCCAAAAGTGAAATAAGGTGAAGCCTTCATGAGTTTATGAGCAGGGTTGGAGGACTTCCTTATCAGGCTCGAAAGAGAAGATGAAGTTATGGCCCAAGATCTCAAGGGTGATTTCTTGGTTAAGTTAATGCACAGAGTCTACACTAAATATCTGGAAGAAAATGGTATGATAAACAGCGTTGGGCTGCTTAGAATTGATCTTTTGCAATGGTTTGGACTTGACAAATTGCATTCTATTGACCATCGGAGAAGTTGAGGACTGATAAACCAAACATATGCTTGATGTGTAAGAGTGATGCCAAAACAATAAGACAGCTGTTCCTGCACTGCCATGGGTAGATGAGATATGGGTATATATCTTTAAGCTCTTGACCTAGTTTGGAAGTTGCAGCCTTCAGTAACACAACTCATTACTTAATGGTTCAGCTGGCGGCCAATGCTGAAAAAGAGATCAACAGTTTGGAGGTTGTTCGTGTTAGCAACTTTATGGAGTTTGTAGTTCAAGAGAAATAGAAGGTGTGTCAATGCCAAAAGATGGAATTATGAAAATTGATATGTTAAAGGAGCAACAAAGGATGATGGTTATAGAGGGGGCAAACGCAAGAAGAGAGCACAATGGATATTCACTGGTAGACTTCGAGAATTAATGGGAAAGCATAGTGATATCTACATTAGCAAATACTAGCAAGAATTCACATGAGAACCACCATAAGAGGAACTAATAAACCTTAATTTTGAAGGAAGTGCAGGTTCTGTCACTGGCTGTACAGTAGGAGGTATAATAAGGGACTACCAAAGTAGATTATTAAGAACCTTCTCAGCCACTGTGCAAAAGTCATGTTGTCAATGAGGCAGATGTGTGGGTGATGCTAACTGGCCTCCGAATCTAGACCTGGAGTGGAAATCAATGCTTAGAATAGAAGGAAATGCCAGCAACATTATCAGTAGGGCCAAGCGAAGAGATAAGTGTCCATCAAGACTGCATAATATATTCGAGGATATGCGGCATCAATTTATTAGGCTGAAAATCCGTAGGCTGAATTATGGAACTAATGATCTGTATTAGAGAGCCATTAGGAATCTAAGATTATATTAATACGAAAAGAAATGTAGACTCCCCACACCCAGTTACCACATCGTGGTATCCATTCCTACCGCTGACACCCCCAATTAACACTTTCAAAATGTAACTCCCCAATCTATTGAAAAAAACGGGTAGGGGCCTGTCTTCCCCACTGAATTACCCAAAAAAAAAGGAAAAAAGAAAAAAGAAATGTAGACTCTGAAAATTAGTATTAATTGGGTGGCTACGGAAGATACCATTAAGCACCCAAAAAGTGATCAAGTCATCAAACTGCTTCATGGAAATGTTGCCATTTATCCCTTACTACCTTTTGCTGAATTTCTGGACTTGCTAACATGATAGCTTCTTCAAACATCAATGCCACCTTGTTTATTGCTCATAAACATATGACTGTTTGTCACTTTGTCTCTATTCTCAAGAGCTTGGGCTGGGCCCTAGTAGAAAAAAGTAGTGCAAAATCTCTTATTAAATGTGGACCTCATCAGTCGTCTCTATATTTATCAAAGGCTGAAATTTTTCTATGACCAATGGTTTAAACAATAACAATAGCAGCAACAACAACAAAATCAACAACAACAATGGTAATAATTTGATTGCCCAATAATGTGGAAGCATATTACAGTTACATTTATTGAACATAGGAAATCCTTTTCATGGAACAAACATGAGAAACCCTGGCATGCTAGCAATTCAAAATTAGAAAAATGTCTCAAACCTAGATGGCTTAATACATAGTCAACAAGTTACATGCTAAGAAGAAAATGAAACAAGCCCTTCTGTAAAATTAACTCTAGTCTTGCATTTGAGAATGACAAATTCTTGAGGAATCTAAAAAATCAGAAAACTGAGAGTACAAAGGAACCATTAAGAACGCACTAACTTGACAAGTCAATGCACTTGGTTAAAGAAAATAAAAGCCCTGAAAATTATGACTTCATGGGATTTGGGTCCTCACAAAATTGTGTGGAGATATAAGTAAAAAATGTGTAGAGAAATAAGTAAAAAATTTGAACAAGTGTTTAGAATAATTCAAAAGATGTGTATATAGGGCACACAATGTGTGTGTGTGTGTGTGTGTGTGTGAGAGAGAGAGAGAGAGAGAGAGAGAGAGAGAGAGAGAGAGAGAGAGAGAGAGTAGTGTGTATATACTTACTTCTCTCTCTTACTTACTTATTATAACTTACTTACTTACTTTACTTTACTTTACTTACTTACTTTATTTTAATTTTAA